GCCAGTCCTAACGAATACCTCGAAAAGCAAGAAAGCTGACGCCAACAATCCATTCTTGTCGCGGGCACTGTGTTCGGCGGCGGGATAGTGATTGGTTTGCTTGTGAATTTTTTTTCTTCGTACTGGTCGCAAGGGAAGCTTTGGTCGGCTGGCTGACATGCGCAACGTAGCGATCACCAGCTTTTAGGGCAGATTTTGAAAATCAAAGCACAGTATGCTACGAAGACTGTCATGAATCTCGCACCGAAACCTGCCAAGGACTGTTGAGGATGTGAATACTGTATTGTCAACTTATCCTTGCCTGCGGTGCTGTAGTCCGGACATTTATATCATGTGATGTGCACAGTGGCTACTTTATTTTTTATTTATAACTGGAAATGCAGTTGTATGCAAAAATGAAGAAATTTGTAAGACTTCTATGAATTGATTGGCAAAACATAATTATTTCTATGGTAAAAATGGTAAGGTTGAGCTGCCAAAGTTGGTTTTCTTTGCCTGGGATTCTTTATGCAATTATTATTGAGCCCAGATATAACTATTGTAGGGCAACAGAATTCTTACTGTTGATAGTGTTTTGGCGTTGTTAGGTCAGTTGTTACCAATCATTCATAAATTATAATTCGTTATCACATACGCTTGACATAGAATAGTCAGCCAAAGTGATACATTGTGTAATGGCACGGGTCAACGGTGTCACTGTGGTACTACCTCAGTGCTATGCTGTGGCATGACATAATGAACAATGATATGGTTTTTGTATTGCAATCCCTGCTGCTTTTACAATAAATTACATTATGAAAAGATGAATCAAGCATGCATTCTTGTATTAACTCCGCATCTGACATATTAGTGACCAAAAAACGCATGATGATGTAACAAATCGCTTCCAGCAAGGCGCACAACCAATACGTGGCATCTCTTGGTCACCCTGTTTTGGGAATCCACAAAACATAGATGAAAAAGGTGCAAACATGTCTTCTGCTTCCACAGCCCTGCAACATGCTGCAGTCATCAGGTTGCTTGACTAAAAATATTGTTCACGCATTTATTGTTCTGTACTGTCGACTTATCGTTGCCTGCAGTGCAGTAGTCGTGACATTGATATCATGTGATGTGCACGGTAGTTTCTTTCTTCATTATTTTTAATTGGAAATGTAGTTGCATGCAAACAGTGATAAATCTGTAATATTGCTGTGAATTGATTGCTCAAGCATTGTTATTGCTATGGTGGGGATGATAAGGGTGATCTACCAAGAACGTTTTTCTTGCTTAGGATTATTTAAGCAATTACTAGTTAACCCTGGTATAGCCATTGTGGTGCAACAGCACCCTCTCTAGTGATAGCCCTTTGTGTTATTAAATCAGTTGTTACCAGTCATTTATAGGTTATAAGCTGCTGTCTCATAGGCTTGACATAGGGTCGTCAGCCAATGTTTAATGGCGCGGGTCACGGGTACAATGGCACGGGTACCTTGTGTAATGGCACGGGTCAACAGTGTCATCATGACACTACGTGAGTGCGGTACTGTGGCATGGCATAATGAACAGTAATTTTTTGTACTGGAATCCCGGCTGCTTTATTAACTCCGCATCTGACATACGACTGACCAAAAACACATGATGCAATGTACAAATCACTTTCAGCAAAGCACACAACCAATAAGTGACATCTCTTGCTCAGTCTGTTTTGGAAATCCGCAAAACATGGGTGACAAAGATGCAAACATGTCTTTTCCTTCCACAGCCATGCAACATGCTGCAGGCATCAGGCTGCTTTACTAAAAAGTGCTGCTCATGCAAGTAATATACATGTATAACAAGAGAATATCGCATGCAGTTAAATGACACTGCAAACCTGCTGACATTGCACAATGCTGGATGTATGACAAGTGCATGTAGTTATGGTACGACGGGCGAGATGCAAGGAGGCGATGAAGCTGCCGGTGCACACAAGGCTCATGATAAGAATATGATATAGTGCTATCCAAGAAACCAACAGTAATACTTCACCTTTCCCAGCACCCAGTATCTCACACAAGTTCCTTTGACCATGACAATGATGACTCACAAGCAATACTTGCCTGCATACGAAATTTGTTAACACAATAGTAGGTGCATCAACTTGCACAACTCTGGAGACATCACATCATATATATATATATATATATATATATATATATATATATATATATATATATATATATATTTGCTGCAATGTTTCCCTAATTTTATATTGCCTACCTAACCCATAAACCCGCGCAAGATTCTTTGTTTCGGTGCACACGGCGCCAACCGAGCTGTCCGTAAAAAATACGTGAGTATAAGAAGAAAGAACATCAGTAGGAGAAAAAATACAGAGTTGCCGTTGCGTCTTCTTTTTAAAACTTTCGGGAGAGAGCCATTCTTTTTTTGATGTCGTGTTTTTTTTTGCAGACATTAGCGTTCTTTTTTTACAACTTTGGCCCATGGCCCACATATAAGGAAAAACACCCCGTTGCCGCAAAACCCAAATTTGCTCCCGTTTACGTTCGCCACACGCATTCACCAGCAAAATCTTACTGACAACCAATCACCTTCCGCGGATTGTATCATATGTGCCGCATCATCGCTTTTGCGAGTGTATCAGCGGCCATGTTGTTTTCAACCAAAGCAAGAAAACAGCCTGCAATGTTACGAAGATCTTATAACGTTCCTACAACAGCATCATTGGGGTTTGTCTCCGAAATAATCCCTCAATAAACCTTTCGCCACTTTTGCGGGCGTGAAACTCAGGAACCAGAGGGCTGTGGATTTCCAAAAGGGCATGGCCGTGAACTGTATCAAAAGGTCCTCAAGATGGCCATTTCAGTTCAAAACCCCACATACAGGTGGAACGTTCTTTTTAAGGGCCCTCTTCATTGATCAAAATCTCTTTTCCTTTTCCTCATTTACTGAGGACCTGGATCCGTACCCGGACCCACACACGGACCCGCACGGCGGATAAGACTTGTTATAGAACAATTTGAAAAAACATAATGGAGTATGTGAATGCAAGTAAACGTTTAAATTCACGGATAGATATACAAGAGCACCATGAGAAAGAGCCAAAACACGAGCACATGGCGATATTAGGCTCAACAAACACTTCAAGCACTGTGCTGCCATGTCCGGTGAGTTTCAAGTGCTACGCATGTTGCGGATGCAATTCTGCATGGCTTACTTGGCAGCATCACAACGGCATGCAGACATTCCACAAGGCAATCAAACAATGATGTATGTGGGGAAGATATTAATTAAATAACATCCACTTTAAATCCAAACTCGGAGATTTTCAAACAATAGGATGTTTGGACACTTTGGAAGGACACCTGGTCGCTTATCATATTTTGAATTGGACTTTGGGGGCAAGAACTTCCAGGCAACGGCACCTCTGCTCCACTCGCAGCTCCCGCGAATTTGGATACTACGTACGTGCTGGGTTACCGTGCCTATAGTAACTCGGTGACCAAAGTTAGCATTTAGCAGGTGAAAATGGCCCTAAAGCCTTTCGGATTGTTTTGATATTCAACTTTATAATCGGCGCCAGGCACTACCCTCGGCGGCGTGTTCCTAAAAGCAAAAACTTGATCGAAGTCCTTTGATGTCAGCAACCTTCCCTGATCACCATGAAGTCAAACTAAAAATTGTAAAAATTGTGTGAACGTTGTTATGATCCAGGAATTCGAAATGATCGTCAAAAACTATCCCATAAAGCCAATTTGCCAGTAATAATGCGCACTAGAGACGCTACATATTTTGACTAAAACATGCCCCTGCGTAATCATTGAAGCTCTCTTAGCGCATTATAAACAAAACAACAGACACAAAGTCAAATGCCATACCATGCGGTGAGAAAATTTGTTTTTGGCTGCGTAAATGTGACGTCATGCTGCTGTGCGAGGCACGATTACCAATAGAACTAGCTTTCGTATTTTTCCAGTATGGATAAAAAAGGGAGGTTTGGTGCCATCTGGCGTTTTGGCGATATGATATGAAGGCGTACTAGATAGGCGTAGTTATGCGCCTGTAAACCAGGTGCCACTGTAACTGTCGAATGGCATGTGTAGGTGTGTTGTGCCTAACTTGGAGTATGAACATGTTAGGTCATGTACTCATGCTTTTATGTTATTGACACCAGGAACGATTTTAGTCTCTGTGATGTTGTGATGCTTGTGGATTATCGACCAAAACAACTATGATATGACTAGTAATATAATGCTCCTCGTTTATTGTGGTCTTCGTGCAAAACTGCATACAGCTGAGTGTTATATAGCGCCCACCGGTTTATGGCAACTTTTACACATTTTGCACTGAAAAATAGGAAATCATGTAACTTAAGGGTATTACTTTTATATCCAGTAACTTAAGTGCACAGTGATTGACCACATTTACTGTTAAAATTTTAAGAAGTCTGTCTCGTAGAAACGGATTGGCACAGATGCATTTCATGACATTTCTGGTATTGGCGATTAGACTAGATTGGATTGAAAAATCTGGGAAAAGAAAAGTAGCGGGACGCTTGGATCTTGATTAGCCTGACCGGACTTGACCGTATCGTGAAGATCCAAATCGTGAAGTGCTATACCGGACCACCTCTTGCCAACGATAGCTACTAGTGTGATGTCACCAATATGTGGAAACATCGTCACTGGAGCATTGGCGGTCGCGGCGTCCGACGTCACCGTTCCCAGAGGCACGAGACAAAGTTCTCCGACTGTTAAATCTTGTGCTCGCAACATGGGAACTGTGGCCCAACTACCACGTAGTTAGTACAATTACGGTGGGCTGATAGTTGCATATGGAAGAGCAACACGTGTCCTCGTCCCCGTGACGTGTGCGAGGTGCCTTGCTGTCAAGTTCCATTTTGTTCAAGAACGCTGAAATGTACTCGTAACTGTTGCCTTCGTCGTTGAACTCGTAACTGTCGTTTACTGACGTGTGCTGTCATGTCCTCTGACGTCCTCTGACGTGCGCTGCTGCAGGTGTCGTTTTGGCTGGACGTGGACGCCATCCCGTCGCGGGTAACGTTGGGCGTCACTACGCTGCTCACCATCTGCTCCGAGAGCTCCGGCACCCCGGACAAGATGCCGCCAGGTCAGAGCTCCACATACATCTGACTGAGGGCTGCCGCAGACACGGTAAGGCCGCGACGTTTGCGAACACGTGGTCCCCGGATCACAGAAATGATGTCAGCCTATTGAGGGAAGGAGATGTTGAACTTCGTCTTTGACCTACTGTGGGCGCGGTTGACATCATACCGCCGGGAGTCAAGACTGACGACCGGAAGGCGTCACTGATATCTGCTTGCAAAAAGGATCGATGGGATTCCAATTTCGCCAGAAGTTGACGATGTCCGTGGGAATTTTCAACCTTCGCCCTATTTTTGTCTGCTAGTCGTCCGTAGACCAGTTGATTAAGCGTTGCAATTAACTCGCATTTTTTCTCAGATCGAGCTGCACAAAATGATGAATTGTGAAGCTTCTGCATTTGACAGCTGTTGTAACACAGAAGTCTATATAAAGAGAGGGGTATGTGCCTCGTGAGCTTGTACAAAACTCTGTCAGATATGCGCGAAACCAGTTGTTCATGTAATAATACAGCGACACTGCGCTGGCCAAACGGCGGCACCACAGTGCACGACGGGATGACGCTTTGTATCGCATTCGTTCGTAACAAACTTCTTTGTTTGCAAAACTTGGCGCTCTGATATTTGTATCGCGGTACATCTTGCGCGGAACTTCTTGCACAAATGGTGGTATACAAGTGTTCGTGTCGCAAATCCTCGCACGCAGAAATGTGTATCCTCAAAACGAGGTCCCCGCACATGTTTTCATCCGCAAAATTTTGTGTGCACAATTCTTTGTATGGCATTTCATTGCGTGCGCATTCCTTCATGCCGCTTTTCGTTGTGCTGCTTTTCTCCGCACACGCATTGCTTCGTATCGCATTTCTTTGTGTACCCGATTTGTCGTATTGCATTTCGTCGTGCTGCACTTCTTAAAGCGAATTTTTGTTACATTGCATTCCCTACGGTACGAAGTCATTCGCATGGAAGGAACAATCCAAGTATGCGTATGTCATGTGCGTGAGTTGTCGGGCAAGCCATACATAGCGCACAAATTAATCGTGCATAATAAAATGTCGTGCGGCACAGCATGTACGCATTTCTGTGCGTGCATGCATCCCTACCGTACGCACTAGCCTACACCGTACCCGACATAGGCATTTTGGACCCTGCCAGCCCAAAAATTGCCGATATGAAGAATGGCATGCGAAAAATTGGATGTGCCGAAAAATGGCGATAAAAACACAAAAAACTAACAGCGCGAAAAAAACAAAAAATGACGTGCCAAGAGTTGCTTATGCGAAAAAATTGATGATAGTACAAAATAATCGTATTCTTAGGTATGTGGTAGGAAGTATCGCGTGCATAGGAATGCGATATGAAGAAATGTGTATGCTGTAATCAATGCGATGAGAAAAATTATTTGCGTGAATTTTCAGGGATACAAAGATTAATTAAAGATATTTTTTGCCTGAATATATACGCTTACGAACATTTCATGCGCTCTCAAAGATCCGTGCACGAAGAAATGCGTTACAAAGTTACGCTACACGACGCGCTGCGTACGCGATTATAACACCAGAAAACGCGACTGAATGCCCCAAAGCATACAATAAATATGTTGCTGTGATCGAATTTCGGACACAAACGAGCTGTCCAGACTTCCAAACGGGCTCATTTCACTTCAAACATGGCGACAACCATAGGCGATGCTGGGGATTTTTATTTAGTAGTAGATATTTATTGATGTTAAGCAGTGTTTTAGCAGGCCGGCGGCGGCCAGACATTTTGTGCAGTGGCCGGTGGCCGGCGGCGGTAGCGCGGCGGCGGCGGTTTTTGTAGTAGTGCGCGAGGGGGTGGTCCGGATGTTCAGGTGCCCCTCCCGAGGAGATTGAGGGGCTGGCCAGGGAAATGGAGGATTGGAAGTGTGTGTTCAGTGAGTTTTTCGTAACATTTTTTGGTGCCGAAACCCGGGACGTAAGAAACTGAAGTTTAAGCTTTTGTTATTTTGCTGAGTTGTTCCGAGTGCCCCTGTCAAGGTGAGTGTAAGCCCGGATGCTTTCAAGAAGCGAACAGCAACCAGAGGTTGGCTGACCAGGTCGGTGAGGAAACTGAGGGAATTCTGGAAGATAAACAACCAGACCAAGATGCCCTCAGGCCGCTAAACTTGAATGCGAGAAGGGGCTCCAGATTCTGGATGAGGCCCAGTCTGAGGTGGAGGTATGCTTTGAGGCAGAGGTTGAGATACTTAATGATATTGAGGGTGCGGCCGACCTGAGAGACGGGGTGATGTCGGTTCTGGATAAGACTGGTGGAGCCCGGGAGCGGGACAGTAGGGCTGGGTCAGTGGGCTCACTGAGCAGGGGGGGAGGGGGGCATCTGAGGCTTCCAAGGTTGGAGCTCCCGAGATTCAGAAGGGATGTCATCAAGTGGCAGTCCTTTTGGGAGAGCTTTGAGGTGTCCGTCAATAATTCGGAGCTGCCTGATGTGACCAAGTTTGCGTATCTTCGGTCCGTGCCGGCTCGACAAGAGAAGAAGAGGGGGCAGCAATAGAGGACACCAGCAGCAGCAGCTCTGCAATCAGGGCCAGGCCACGGTGTGGTTTCTGTGGGCAGACACACCAGTTTGAGATGTGTCTGAAGCCAAAGCCCCTGTCAATACCAGAGCGCAGAGATGCTATCAGGCAGGCTGGGCTGTGTTTTCGGTGCCTGAGAAGTGGACATGTGGCTCGCAGGTGTGACAAAGTGTGTGCTAAGTGTGAAGGACGTCACAGTGTTTTGTGCTGCCTAAAACGGCTTGGTGGTGGGGCGCAGAGTGTTCAGGGTGTCACAGGAGGCATGAAGCAGGGAGCCCCCAGCAGTGACTCAGGCCCAGCACATTGTCCGTCATTGCCCTGTAAGAGTCGTGGTCCTGAAAGGAGATGTACAGTGCTGCCAACTGCTCGTGTGACTGTAGTGGGTCAAGGAGGCGGCGTGTAGAGGCCACAGTGCTGTTTGACACGGGTAGTGACGGGACCTATGTCAGCGAGAGGCTTGTGAAGCGAGCAGAGCCTGTGTGGGTAGGATCTGAAAGTGCCTCGTATGCCGCGTTTGGGGGAACTGGCTCATCAGCTGAGCACAGGGATGTGTACCGTGTTGACATGTTCGGTTCCAACATGGCCTCACCCTCTGTCCTTACCATCAAGGCCATCAGGATCCCTGTCATCTGCACCCCTCTCCAGCGCCCTGTCTTGCCAGCTGGAGTTCTTCAGTCCTTCAGCCACTTGGAGCTGGCTGACCCGCCCTCAGACAGACAGCTGACGGTGGACATACTGGTGGGGATGGACTGCTATTGGGATCTTGTGAAACATGGTGAGATGAGGCTCGATGGGGGACCCGTGGCACAAGAAACCTCCCTGGGGTGGGTTGTCTCCGGAAAGATGAGTGCGCTGCCGACAGTTGGTGCCACCAGTCAGCTGCTCTGCCTTGGAGATATCCACGAGCAGTCCCTCCACAGGTTGTGGTCACTCGAGGGCATCGGTGTTAGTTATCCAGAGGTGGGGGACTCGGAGGTGATGAAGGAGTTCAGCGCCTCAGTGGTAAGGGCTGGTGGCAGGTATGAGGTCGCCTTGCCGTGGAAGGCAGGCGGCGCTGGTCAGCTGCCGGACCACAGACTTGCCGCTGAGGCGCGTCTGACGGGTCTGTCTCGCCGGTTGGCGAGAGACCCGGAGCTGGGAGTGGCCTATGCAGAGGCGCTCAAAGGGATGGACCAGGCAGGTGTGATTGAGGAGGCTCCCAGCCACGAGCTGGATGGTCCGCACCCGAGGGTCTACCTGCCCCATCATCCTGTCGTGAAGGGGTCCAGTGAGTCGACACGGGCGAGGCTGGTCTTCGATGCATCCGCAGGTCCGGTCCCAGTGGCGTCTCGCTCATTGACTGCCTGGAGGTGGGACCGTGCCTCATCCCGAGTCTGGTGGGTGTGCTGCTGAGGTTTAGGCGTTGGCGGGTCGCAGTGACAGCCGACATGAGCAAAGCCTTCCTTCAGATCAGTCTCAGGAGAGAAGACAGGGACGTCCACAGGTTTCTGTGGATCCATGACGGTCGGAAACGTGTGATGCGCTTTCGGAGGGTGACGTTCGACGTTAGCAGCAGTCCGTTCCTGTTGGACGCCACCATCCGGCATCACCTGTCCACGTGTGTTCCGTCCCGTGCGATAACTGAGATGGCCGAGAACTTTTATGTGGATGACCTCTCAAGTGCGGATTCGGAGGATGAGGCCAGCTCTCTATTTACTGAGGCCCAGGTCGTGATGTCTGGAGTGGGGATGACACTGACCAAGTGTAACTCCAACAGCGCAGTAGCATTTGACAGGACCCACGCAGCCACCGGCAGCGGCGAGCGCGACAGCACCAAGGTTTTGGGGGTTATGTGGAACCCAGGCGAGGACACTTCTTCGTTTGAGGGTCTGGCGGTTCCCGCTGACCTGACTCCGACCAAACGAGTGGTGCTGAGCTGCATAGCTCGGCTGTTTGATCCACCGGGGTTCGTGGCGCCTTTCGTGATGGTGGCGAAGAACCTGTTCTAGGAGCTGTGGCAGCTGGGGTTCGACTGGGACGATGCTTTCTCGGCGGACCGCAGCCTGGTCTTCTCGAACTGGCTGAGCGGTACTGGGACCCTGAAACAGCTGCGGATCCCGCGCTGCTATTCGAGCCGCGACTGGCGTCTCGGTGAGGACGTGTCGCTGCACGCCTTCGGTGACGCGTCTCCAAAGGGGTGCGGAGCGGCGGCGTATCTCCGTACCGCCCGGCCAGACGGCTCCGGTGAGGTCTCGCTGGTTTTGGCTAAGGCACGGCTCGCACCACTGAAGCGGGTCACGCTGCCGCGGCTCGAGCTTCTGGGGAGCCTGCTGGCCGCGCGTCTGGCCGCACTCTTGCGGTGGGCTCTGCGGCTTCCCGAGGACACGGTGACTCGGCGCTGGGCCGACTCGATGATCGCACTGGGATGGATACGTGGTGAGTCTCAGCGGTGGAAGCAGTTTGTCGCTAACCGAG